TCACATTACATTAGCAAGTGGAAATGGAAAGTACAATTAATTACTTTGGTATCACAAAGTAGAGTAAATAAATGGTACTTCAATTATCTGATTCTTTCAGATGAGACTTTTGGGTGTGACTGAGCTGAATTGCATTGTTACCAAATAGTCTAAGAGCCAGAAATTTTCATGTATAGGCTTTTTTGTCATGAATTTCTGTACAATTTAATTTGTCAATGTGTGATTGACTTACTTATATACAAAGTATTTAAGTAGTTTGACTTTTCCAGTTTTATAAGAATAAAAACTGAAATGGCCAAAACACTATTTTCACAACTGCCAATCAATTCATAGAGTTAAAGAAAAGTAAAACAGTATATAGGCATCGGACTGGATACAATTACTATTATTACTGTTACTAATATGTATATATATTTATATTTACTACAATGATGGTTCTGGACTTCTTAATTTCAGGGACTCGGAAAGTGTAGACAACGTTTGATTATAGATCCTTTCAGATTTCTCAAAGTGTTGGAAATATAATTCAATAGGGACTGGTATAGCACAGTGGGTTAGGCTGCCAGTTGCAACATTGACATCCGTTATTGGAGTGCTGCTAGTTTGAGTCCTGGCTGCTTCACTTCCAGTTCATCTCCCTGCTAATGTGCCTGGGAAAGTGGCAGAAGATGGCCCAAGTACTTGGGCCCCTGCACCCATGTGGAAGACTCAGAAGAAGCTCCTGGCTCCTGGCTCCTGGCTTTGGCTTGGCCCAGCCCCAACCATTGTGGCCTTTTGGGGAGTGAGCCAGAGGATGAAAGTGCTCTCTCTCTCTCTCTCTCTCTCTCTCTTTTCCTCCCTCTATCTGTAATTGTGTCTTTCAAATAAAAATAAATAAATATTAACCCAGGATAATTCACTTACATTTTTTAAAAAGATGCGTTTATTTACTTGAAAGTCAGAATTATACAGAGAGAGAAAGAGACAAAGAGAGAGAGAAAAAGGTCTTCCATCCACTGGTTCACTTCCCCCAGAGAGCCGCATCGGCCAGAGCTGTGCCAATCCGAAGCCAGAAGCTTCTTCCGGGTCTCCCAAGTGGGTGCAGGGGCCCAAGGACTTGAGCCATCTTCCACTGCTTTCCCAGGCCACAGCAGAGAGCTGGATCGGAAGTGGAGCAGCCAGGTCTCAGACCGGCACCCCATGGGACGCCGGCACTGCAGGCGGCGGCTTTACCTGCTATGCCACAGTGCTGGCCCCAAGAATTCACTTTCATTTTTTCACTTTCTTTGTGCTAAGGATGCAGATGGAATTTGAGAGCTTGCTAATCTGGTAGTACCTACGCACCAGTTCTTAGATCTCTTGCTGGGCTGATTGCCTACAAATTCATACCTCATTTTCATATCATCAGTTAGGGAAAAAGTTTTCCGGAGAAAATACTAATTTGAATTTTTATTAACACCATTTCCAGGTCCTGTCCAGAATTTTCTAACTCAATAAATTTATGAATGAGGCCCTGGAATCTGTATTTTCTAAAAGCTTCCCAGGTGGTTTTGTGATCCAATCCCAGGAGGACACCACTGATGTTAATCCCAAGTCTTGCTGGGCAGATGTGCAGTCTGGGTCCTATCTGGTCCCAGCCAAGCAGACGAAGGAGGAGAATTCAGCGCCCTGAGCTCTACTCCCTTCACACTTCTCACTGGGCCCTGGGAGCTGACCAAAGCTTTTCTATTCCTCCCGCATTCAGAGTAAGAAGACTGTTGATTTGTCTTGGAGTAATTGTTATTGCCTTTCTTGGAAAACCTGATAACCAAGAGAAAGGCTTGGCTGACTTACAATTTATAAATTAAAACCAGTCTGCAGATAGGGAAATAGGCTAGGTGATTCCTTCGTATCTCTTCTATCCTGAACTCCCAAGTTCCTAGGATTTAACAACAAAAGAAACCCCTTTCTAGAGACTTTCACTTTCCTTTGTTAAGAAGGTTTCCCCTCAAGCCTTCCAGGTAAGGAAGAAATTGACTTTCCTCCTCCTTGGTTCTGCTTAGCTCTCCTTATCTGAAAGGATGACTACACTGAGAACATTCATATATGCAAAGCCTGTTCCTTCCTGCCTTTGGCACATATTTAACACTTTCAGATGAAACCTACAGATAGCTGAAATGGCCAGGCTGCTGCCTAGTTCACCATAAATACAACAGCACCACCTTGTGTTTTGCTTCTAGGAGAATTTACTTCAGCAGGACAAAAGCTTGGGCAGAAAGGTGGTTTAGGGTGTAGGACTAGGCCTCAAATTCCTTCACCTGGAAAAACTACAGTCATCCTGTGGTGTCCATGGGCAACTGGTGCCGGGACTTTCTGTGGGTACCAAAATCTAAGGATGCTCAAGTCCTTCATTTGCATAGAAATTATAACTCCTGTATATTTTAAATCATTTCCAGATTATGTGTAATAACACAAGGTAAATGCTTTGTAAACAGTGTTATGTCGTGTTTAGGAAATAGTGTCTAGAAAAAGAGAGATCTTTACATAGCCCAGGAGCAATCTTTCTTTTTCTGAATATTTTCAGTCTGCATTGGTTGAACCTATAGATGAAGAAGTGTGGAGAGGGAGGGCTGGTTGTGTCAGCAGCCACTACCACTTCTTAAAAAACCCATCGGTTCACTATCAGTCAACAATTATCTCCTATCAAACTATATAATTTTTACAATATCAAATGTGGCTGGAAAATGGAAGCACAGAAATAAACATTGATAAAACTTGGGTAAGCACAAGACTTTACTAAATATCACAGGAGAAAGGTTAGCATCAAATTCTCATTACAAAATTTTGATGCTATTATGATTGAGCATTTTTTTCTGAAAATTCTTTTGTATTCAGAAAGGTAGCTTTTGAACCATGTATTTGCCTATTAAAGATTTTTTTTTAATGAAACCTCTGACAAAGCAGTTCTATGTGAGCCTGGTTAAAATATTTGTTTTCTCCAAGCAGAGCTGTAGATTCATATGAGGGCAGTCTTCAAAACATTCATGGAAATGCATATTATTTATGGATTTCAAATTTGCACCAAAATAAACTTATCAATTCAATTTTCTATGAGCTGTTTGAAGCACCCTCATATATATACTTTTTCATCTTCACTATGGGGTGAGCTGAGAATTTAATAGATGACTATCATTGGGGCTGAAGAACCATATTTTATAAGCCAAAAAATCAAAATACGATCCAACCAAATTTACCACTTGTCAGAGTTTTCCCCCCAATGAGAATATGACTAATTTAAAAAGACTGTTTCCAATTAAAATTTGAAATGTCAAGATTAGTATAACAAATTAGCAATTCTTTGTCTCTGAAACCACCTGGAAAATTGAGTCAGGGACCTTAAAACCTACACCTCATTGTAGGACTAGAAAATAGCAAAGCACCTGTATTCAGGACCCTGTTGGGATTGACCGTGCAGAAAGTTTTACCCAGAAAGTCTGTTAGAAGCCTCATTATTGTTACTTTTAGTTGTAAAAGGAGAGTGTAGTCTTCCAAGTGCGTCTGCTATTGTTTACCCCATCTACAATTTCAAGTTACTGTGCTAAGATAATAACTTTTTAAAATTTTTATTTAGTAAATATAAATTTCCAAAGTACAGTTTATGGATTATAATGGCTTCCCCCCCCCCATAATTTCCCTCCCACTCGCGCCCCTCCCATCTCCTGCTCCCTCTCCCATTCCATTCACATCAAGATTCATTTTCGATTCTCTTTATATACAGAAGATCGATTTAGTATATATTAAGTAAAGATTTCATCAGTTTGCACCCACACAGAAACACAAAGTGTAAAATACTGTTTCAGTACTAGTTATAGCATTACTTCACATTGGACAACACATTAAGGACAGATCCCACATGAGGAGTAAGTACACAGTGACTCCTGTTGTTGACTTAACAATTTGACACTCTTGTTTATGGCGTCAGTAATCTCCCTAGGCTCTAGTCATGAGTTGCCAAGGCTATGGAAGCCTTTTGAGTTCACCGACTCTGATCATATTTAGACAAGGTCATAGTCAAAGTGGAAGTTCTCTCCTCCCTTCAGAGAAAGGTAGCTCCTTCTTTGATGGCCCGTTCTTTCTACTGGGATCTCGCTCGCAGAGATCTTTCATTTAGTTTTTTTTTTTTTTTTTTTTTCCCAGAGTGTCATGGCTTTCCATGCCTGAAATACTCTCATGGGCAATCTGCGACACACCAATCTGTGACTCTTTTCCTAACAATACCCACCCCTGTATACAAGGTTACTTCAAAGAGTTCATAAAAGTAAAACTAAAAGATATGTTTATTTTGATGTAAAAAATTTGGGGGGGGGGCAGTGCTGTGGCGCAGTGGGTTAAAGCCCTGGCCTGAAGCACCGTCATCCCATATGGGCGCCGATTCTAGTCCCGGCTGCTCCTCTTCCATCCAGCTCTCTGCTACGGCCTGAGAAAGCAGTTGAACATGGCCCAAGTCCGTGGGTCCCTTCACCCATTCAGGAGACCTGGAAGAAGCTCCTGGCTCCTGGCTTTGGATCGGCGCAGCTCCAGCTGTTGCAGCCATCTGGGGAGTGAACCAGCGGATGGAAGACCTGTATCTATCTATCTATACCTCTCTCTGTAACTCTGTCTTTCAAATAAATATATATTTTAAAAAATTTTCTTTTTTGGAAAATTAGGTGTATTTTGTTTCTGATACATATTTTTCCATGAAGATTTTATAGACCCTTTCATAGGTATGGATTTCAACATTTTTGCACCAAAATAAACGGATCTTTTAAAGCCATTTTGATGATCTCCTTGGAGCTCTTTCTTTCCAGGCGGTTCACTGTTTTACAGCATGCTGCGGGGGTTCTTTTAGGCGGACAACCATGCTACAAGCCATGGCAAATTGAAAGTTAGCAGAAAATGGTTTCAGAATATTTCTTACTCTCCATGTAAGTTATGAAGGAAAATAACATTCTTGCAAAAGTTCCTGTAGCCTAAACCGCAGTTTTGAAGCTGTCCACAGATCCATGGAAAGCTTTCTTGGAACACAGAACGAGAATTCTTGTGTAGAAGAATAGCCTGCCTGTTTTCAGAAGAAAGGCGGGAAAAGTGCCTGGAACCACACCCACTAATGATATCAACAGTTTCCAGAAGGCTTGCCCATAAAGTGGTGCCTGCTTGGCTGGACAAAGCAAGCCTGCTGTGGCCCCACCCCTGATGTCAGCCGTGGGTCATGAACGTGGGACTCTTCACATCACGTGGTATAGGACCTAATTCACCAGGTTCACCTCTCTCCCCGCACCGGAACTCAAACGCTGACCTTCTCCTCCCGCCCTGCCCTAGCTGTGCCTGCGTGCCCTGCTCCTGTGGAAGAAAGCTGCATCTTTTCCAAGAAGAGTTGCTGTCTTGCTCAGATGAAAGGCGTGAAGCCAGGCTGAGGTGAGCTTGTTATCAATCAGCCCTGATTGGCAGAAGATGACGCAGTTGCCAAGCCTGTCTTTGAGCAGTGGTGAAGGTGAAGCATCATTCGGCTAGGCGCTAAGTAGGCACTGTAAATCACGCTAGAGGCTGTACCACTTCAGTGCTGAGGGCAGTAACGGAAACGAGTAATGTGCAGTAAACTGCAGTGAACTCAGTCGTTCTGAACGCTCGGCACCTGCTTGTGTTTGTAAAGCGGGAATTCAGGTCAGGGAAACTTGGAGCTATTGCGCTGCAGCACGATGGATTCTGTCTCATTAGACTCCATGCACATTTAAGTGAAATTTTGCTTTAAACAAGGCTGAGGAGAGCAGGGGCTGTGGACATCTATGCTTTTAATCCTTTAGGAAACATTTCTGTCTGGACAGGTTGTGGAACACGTCGCCCATCTTTAAAAATATCCTAACCAATCCTTCCTGGTCACTCAAGTCCCACCTCTTTATGTGGCCTTCCCTGGTGCGTTTAGTTTGCAATGGGTGCTTCCTCTTAATTTTTTTTAAGATTATTTGTTTATTTGAAAGTCAGAGAGGGAGGGGGAGAGGGAGAGAGATAGAGATAGAGATGGAGAGAGAGAGAGAGAGAGAGAGAGAGAGAGATCATCCATTGTTAGAGTCAACCGCCCGAAAAACGTCACCAAGAGACATCTCTTATGCAAACAGCAAGGGGAAGCTTTATTGATTATCCAGCATGCTGGGGCTGTCTGATCATCATGAGCAGAGCAGCCCCGAATAACCAAAGGTTAGGGTTTATAAAGGCAAAAACCGCAAAACCGGGAAGGGGAAGAGAATACATGGTTGTTAAGCAGTTGCTAAAGTCTTACAATCAGCAATTATGATCTTAAGACATAGACAAATCACATCTTTATTATTAGCCCAGGTAACCCAGGTGTAACCTTTTTACTTTTAAGCTTGAGCAATCATGCTAGGGAGTTTTTGTGTGTTGCCAAGGGTGATGTAGTGCACTGCTATTGTCCGACTATTTGAGATCATAGTTTCGGACCAGAGTCTCACGGTGGGGGGGTTGCTTTCCCAGAATGCAGTCTCAAGTGCTCCAAAATGGAGTCCCTACTGTCAAGGTGCTACTTCACTCTGTTTTATTTTTACAGCTGCACCAGGAAGGTTTAAACCTGTAAGCTTAAGCTTTTTACACCCGCACATATACAATTTTAACTCTTCACCATCTACTGGTTCACTCCCTAAATGGCTGCAATAGCTCCATCCGAGTCTCCCACAGGGGTGGCAGGAGTCCAGGTACTTGAGCCATTTTCTGTGGCCTCCCTAGGTGCATTAGCATGCAGCTGGATCAGAAGCAGAGCAGCTGGGACTCCCTCCAGTATGGGATGCTAGTGTGACAAGCAGTGGCTTAACCTGCTGTGCCATAATACTAACACTAGATGCCTTCTTTGTTTCCTGAGCACTTACTGTGTGCTCAGTGATTGCATGCCTTGTCTTTGCCCATAGTGTGCTATTATGAGAACACTTCAAAAAGTCTGTGGGAAAATGGAATTAAAAGATATCTTTATTTTGATGTGAAAAATTTTTGAAGTGCACACACAGGATTTTTTCAAAATATGCATTTTCCATGAACTTTCTGAAAACTTCATATTTCTACATGTGAAGAGAGCACATTTTTACACTTTTAGAATTTGGTTTTTGTTTGTTTTGTAATTACACATTTCAAGCAATCTGTACAGGTGACACATTAACTTTTTCTTTTTTTTAATTTTTAAATGTTCTTTTTTTTTTTTTTTTTTGACAGGCAGAGTTAGACGGTGAGAGAGAGACAGAGACAGAGAGAAAGGTCTTCCTTCTGTTGGTTCACCCCCCAAATGGCCGATATGGCCAGCGCACTGCACCAATCCAAAGCCAGGAGCCAGGTGCTTCCTCCTGGTCTCCCATGTGGGTGCAGGGCCCAAGCACTTGGGCCATCCTCCACTGCACTCCCTGGCCACAGCAGAGAGCTGGACTGGAAGAGGAGCAACCGGGACAGAATCCAGTGCCCCAACCGGGACTAGAACCTGGGGTGCTGGCACCGCAGGCGGAGAATTAGCCTCGTGAGCCGCGGCGCCGGCACATTAACTTCTTAATTGTGAAATTTTTTTAAAGATTAATTAACTAATTAATTTGAAAAGCAGAGTTACAGAGAGGCAGAGGAAGAGAGAGGGAGAGAGGAAAGGAGGGAGAGAGAGAGAGAGAGAGAGAGAGAGAGAGAGAGAGAGAATCTTCCATTCACTGGTCCACTCCCCAAATGGCCAGAGCTGGGCTGATCTGAAGCCAGGAATCAAAAGCTCCTTCCAGTGTCCCAGGTGAATGCAGGCGCACAAAGACTCGGACCATCTACCACTGCTTTCCCGGGTGCATTAACAGAGAGCTGAATTGGAAGTGGAACAGCTGAGACTTGAACCAGTACCCATATGGGATGCCAGCACTGCAGACGGTGGCTTTATCTGCTACACTACAGTGCTGGCCCCTTAATTGTGAAATATGGAAATGACATTTCGTGTAGTTTCTGTTCTCCTGAGAAATGGAAAGATCCTGGACTTCAGTGTCAGATGGATCAAGATCCAGACCTTAGTTTAGACCTTTACAAGTTATGTAATTCTGAACAGTTTACCTAACTTCTTTGAACCACAGTCTTCCTTGCTTGTAAAATTGAATCACCATTAAAATATCTGGCACAAGATAAAGAATCAGTGCAATCATGTATGCTAGTTGCCCAGCTCAGTGTGTATAAAGTGTCCAATAAATGGTGGCCAGAAACAGAAATATTAGGAACCATAGCAGCAGGACTGTTACACACAGTGCGTTGTCTTTCTGAAAGAGATTGTTCTTGAGAAAACGGATTATGTTACACACACTTGCATGGAATCGCTCAACAGTTCCTGTATGGGGTACAAGCAGCACTCAGTGCCAGTTGAAGTGTACTGACATGAGAAAGTCGGGGATCGATACACTTGCTCAGCAACAGTAACAGTAGGATTGAGGCTAAGGTTACCAACTATTCTGAAGAATGAAACGTGATGAAGACAAGTGCTTCATCAGAAATTTACAAATAAGAACTTCCTCTTTCACACAGTGCTGTTAATGTCAGGGTGAGGAGGATGAGGAAGAAAGGTAAAAGAGAGAGAAGGGAATGAAGCAGAACTGTTACAACTTGGGAAAACGGACAAATTGTGGGGGACACAGACAAGGGAACTCATCTTTGCTGAACACTCTATGTCAGCCCTTTGCGCAAAATCCTCACTGTCATACTGAACTGTATTTAAGTCCTATTAGCCTCAGACAGCTTGAATAAACATGTCCAAGAACCCACAGCCAGTAAATGGTAGAACGAAGACTTGTTCTCAGGGCTGCCTGTCTTCAAATATGAGTTCATTCACAGCTCCATGCTGTCAATCCTTTGTGCAGAGGACTAAGGTTGGCTACCCATGCCAGTCTCTGCTCCAGCTGCCACCCTTCTCCTGCCCTTCACATAGGGTGATACATAATTTATCATTCAAACCAAGACACATCTGGGACTGAAAGAGGGAGATATTAATAATTCCTCCAGGACACCGGGCCAAACTGGCACTGTCCTGGACAATGCCGGACATTTGATCACACCAGTCAAAAGAGCCCTAATAACTCATGCTGTCATTATGCCATTCTTGGTATTCACACTCCAAATGCTCTCGGTGAGATCATCAAAGACTTTTATGCACTTAAATGACAAAGACTTTTTAGCTTTCATTTAGTTGGCTCCTCATTATGCTATTCCACTGAGAATTTCCTCCTTTCTAATATTACCTCTTGACTTCTTGGATAATATGCCCTACCAGTTATCATTCAGTATTTTTAATTTTTCTAATATGTGATTGCCTAACTAGTTTTTAAATATTGGAGCCCTTTAAGGCTTGATCAGAAAACTTCTTATTTTTTTTAAGTTTTGTGTCTTTCTATGTGTTCTCCTTAGGGAACCTCATGTTCTCTAATGGCTTCAGATAGCACTTATATATTAATTACTATCAAATTTACATTCCCACATAGACCTTTCACTGGATTCCCAGGCCAGTGGTTTACTCAGCATTGCTACTTAGACACTTAACAGATGCTTCAAATTCAGGAAAGCCTCAAACACATTTCTTTTTCCCCTTTCCCAGCAACTCTATTTTCTCCTAATGGCCACTAGCTCCATGAATGTTGGTGCCATCCATCCATGTACATAAGACAGCAACATCCTTCTCTCCCTCACCCACCATGGATGATGGATCCTCAGTGTTCGTTATGCCCTCAAGAGGTCCAGCTCTCTTTACCTTTACATCCTAGTCTAAAACCACACAATTTCTATTCTAAATGTTATAGTGGTCTCTACACTACGTATCTACTTTGGACTCACTCTTATTATATCCTATATAATATCTAGTCCTCTCTTGCTTTGGCTCTTAGTCCCTCTCTCTTTTCAGCCCCACTATTTATCAGTTCTTCATTCCATCTTTCTTCTTGCGTTAGAAGCTTAGAATATTCTTCTTCATGCTGGATAACTTTTTCACCCCCTAGATCTCAAATTGAATGTTCTTTCCTCAGAAAATCTTCCTGGACCTCCTAAATTAGGTTGATCTGTCTGATAATACATTTTTCCAGCTCTCCATAATCTTTTGAGTCACCTGTTAACATTTTCGTCTTCCTTTGTAACACAACATGATTCCATTAGACTGCCAGTACCTTATTATGAAGGTCTGGAGTAGGGTCCACAGTGTTGCTGAATGCTGTAATCAGCATCTCACGACCAGGAGGAATCAGAGGTCCATGATCATGTAATCTCACTGGGTTGCTTGTGTTGGACTTGGTATGTGAGACAATGATGTGCGGTGGGGCAGTTTGATGAGCTGACAAGAGGCTAAACTAAGAGTAAAATGCTGTGAAAGGCCACCTAAATTTTAACCTCATCCTCCCGATTTGGTCAGATGAATCAGAAGCAGATAG